TTTGGGGCCTCCCCCCCCCCCCCCCCCCCCCCTCATTTTTACTGCCAACAATTCCACTGGCCTAACCATAAAAGAATGATCTTATTTTTTTTCAAAAGTAACTTTTCACTTTTCATTCAAAAGTTTGGAGATAGTAAGATTTATTATTATTATTTTAATTAATAAATTAATATTTATTTTATTTTTATTCAGCAAGGACACATAAAATTGATCAAAAGTGACAAAAAATTCTGTCAAATAAATGCTGTTCTTTTGAAATGTATATTCACCAAATCATGCTAAAAAAGTATCAAAACATTAAGCAGTACAACTGAGTGTCAAATCAGCATATTAAAATGATTTCTGAAGGATCATGTGACACAGAAGACTAGAGACATGACAGGAATAAATTACATATATTTAAAAAATATACTGAAATAGAATTCATCCTCTATGAGCATAAGAGACTTCTTTCAAGAACATGTAAAAATCTTACTGACCCCACACCTGTGTATAGGTTTATAAAAGTTTTTTTCCATATTTGCTAGAAATAATATTTATATTTGTCATTAAATTATTTATAAAAAATACTAAATGTTCATTACAAAATATTTAAAAGTATAATAATAATAATTACTATAGACTTGTTACGGAGTCAGCGAGACAAGAGGCGTGCCGATCCATATGTAAAGCTTTATTCCAAGACATGGTCAAAAATAGGCAGTGGTCAATACCAGCAAACAGATATAGCCTAGACAGGACAAAACAAAAGAGTAATCCTAAAACAGGCATGGGTCAATCGACGGCTAACGTAATCCAGAGGGCGAAGCAAACAGGTAATCCACAAACAGGCAAAAGTCCTGGCAGGGGCGGACTGGGGCCAAAAAGTGGCCCTGGACTTTTTAGCACAGAGCGGCCCACCAAACCCGGTCCACAACACACTGCACCACACCATAAATGACCGGCATTCTTTACATTATAATTTGTCTTTCCTAGTGTAAATGGCAAATAGTAAATAATTTTTAAGAATTTTTGAATAGTGCAGAATGCGGACTGTTTTTATGGTGCCTTTCTATTGGTAATATACAGTATTTGTACTTTTGCAGGAGCTTGACATCTATCATTTTAAGGAATAGAGCTCCAATTGTGGAAAAGAGTATACAAATTATTTTGATGATGAAAAAATTCAGTAAACAGTACTGTGAAATATATAATGTTACCATTTAAAATAGCTGTCTTCTATGCGAATATATAGTAAAATATAATTTATTGCTGTGATCAAAGCTTATTTTTTTAGCATCATTACTCTAGTCTTCAGTGTCACATGATCCTTCAGAAATCATTCTAATGTGTTGATTTGCTGCTCAAGAAACATTTCTTAATTAATTATGAATGTTGAAAACTGTTGTGCTGCTTCATATTTTTGTGGAAAATGTGATACCATTCAGCCTTGGGTAAGATTAAAAAATATAAATTAATATTTTTCTTCAACAATGCTGTATTAAATTGATTTAAGTGACAGTAAAGATATTTACACATGTTACGAAGTACTTACATTTCAAATAAATGCTGTTCTTTAACTGATAATGATTAAGCAGCAAATTAAGCAGCATTAAAATTATTTCTGAAGGGACACTGAAGACTGGAGTAATGATGCTGAAAAGTGAGCTTTGATCACAGAAATAAATTACATTTTAAAATATCCTAAATAGAAAAACACTATTTTAAGTGTAATATTTCATAATATTATAGTTTTTACTGTATTTTTCATCTTCTGTCAAATAAATAAATACAAAGCCTTAATTATTTCATACTTTAAACCATCAGTGTGTAGGCTATATAAAATAATGCATGTGAATTAATAAGCAAATTATATTTTTGGTGGAAGGATATACTGTACGTACATTTACTACAATTCATTTTTTATATATATTTACGCAAAGTGCCACACATTGTACAGCGGCCCACCAGGAAAACTCCCAGTGCTCCAGATGGCCAGTCCGCCACTGAGTCCAGGCGAGGTGCAAACAAAGTCCGAAACGGCAAGACAAAGGGATAATCCAAGAAATATAGGCCTAGTTTAGGGCAGGCAGAGAACAGACAAGACGAGGGAAACAGGCTAGGATCAAAACACGGGTGAAACAGGCAATGAACTAGACTAGACTAGATAAACTTGGAATGGCTCCGTAATGTTGCTATCGCTAAACACAAAGATAAGCACAAACAATACTCGGCAGTCTATGTGAGTGTGAGTGCTGCTTAAATAATGGTCCAGATTGGAAACAGGTGTGAGTGTGTGATTAGTTCCTGGATAGGGAATCATGGGAAATGGAGTCCGGGGTGAACTGTGCAGTGTGAGAGTACATGTGGTGGATAGTGTCCTCTGGTGGTGAACAAACGGAATTCCATAGACCAGATTCGTGACAAGAGTCCTGTTTTAGTTAGTAGATTCTGCCAAGAAAACAAATGTATATGTCAGTGCAATGGTTCAAATATTTAAATTGCCATTATGCTGATGAGTTCATTAGGCTGCTTTGGGCACTTTGAAAGTCAAGACTGAGAAAACAGGTGTTGTTCTTCACATCTTCTCAGCTGGAGTGGTTCAATGATGGTGCTGGAGTACATGTGGAATGAACATCAGTCAGAGGATGACTGAAATTAATCAGGTGCTGAGAGCTAAGAAGAGATTGTGCCTCCACTCAGTGATCAATACACCCAACAGTGCTTGAATATGTGGATGTGTTACAGCTCAACCTGTGTGTGTTCTGTTTAGACTGTTGTACGACTCTGAAGACTTCACTGGAAACACGGCTCTTATTGCCAAATGCTTGGTGCTAAACTGTAATTATCCCTACATATACACTATTCAAAAGAAATATCTTATTCTCACCAAGGCTGCATTTATTTGATCAGAAATTCAGAAACATGAATATTGTGAAATATTATACCAATTTAAAATAACTGCTCTCTGTTTTAATATATTTTAAAATGTGATAGCAAAGCAGTCATTACTTTGGTCTTCAGTGTCACATGATCTTTCAGAAATCATTCTAATATGTTGATTTGGTGATCAAGAAGCATTTATTATTGTTATACACTGCATGTTGTGGTGCTTAATATAATATTTGTGAAAGCCGTGATGGCTTTTTTTTCAGGATTCTTTGGTATGGACAGTTCAAAGAACAGCATTGATTTTAAATAGTAAAGACTTTTATAATGTTACAAAAGATTTCTGTCACCTTCAGTCAATTTAATGCATCCTTGCTGAATAAAAGTATTTATTTATTTATTTTTTAACTAACTCCTAAATTTTGAATGGTAGTATTGCATTTGGCACATGCATTGTTTGAAAGTGACATACATTTTTTTCTACACAGTGTTTATTAAGGTGTTCCCTGGGTATTGAGCCCACAACCTTGGCATTGTTAGTGCCATGCTAAACTATATGAGCTACAAGAACACTTCCTTTATGTATAGACTCACGTTGGTTGGTCAGATACATTGTGAAGAAGTTAACTGCTCAAAACAAGGGAATTTCCTGCATGTGCTTTTTATTATTTGTCATTGTTTTGTTGTCAACTTTCATGTATTAAATTGACTGTTTTTATACAATATAAGTGTTGATTAATGTTGCCATGCTTATTTTCAATGTGCTTTTGTTTGTCAGGATTAAAGTTTCCAGTGATGATCGGCCTGTGAGCAGTTCTCAATGGCTCAGAGGAAGAGGCCAGGGACCAACAGCAGCATGGCCACAGAGACTCACGCTTCACCTCTACGCTCCTGCCCAGCCCCATACCCCGAACCTGTGCACCCTGAGGAGGAGTATGAAGAGCGCCGGGACCCTGAGGTGTCCCAACACTCCTATCACAACCAAGAGGAGGCAGATTTGACAGACAGCCGGCCAGCCACGCCCACCACTCCAGACCACGCCCACAGAGACTACCACAGCCACCCGGACAGTCTGGATGGAGACTCTAGCTCAGACTATGTCAACAATACTTCTGATGAAGAAGAGGATGATTTCGACGAAGGACTACCGGAGGAGGATGAAGGTGTTACATATTATATCCGCTATTGTCCTGAGGATGACAGCTACCTGGAGGGAATGAACTGTAATGAGCCTGAGTACGGACACCCGGACACTCACATGAAGCCACCTCCGGACACGGATGAGTGCCAGGAAGCTGTTGAGGAATGGGTGGAGGGAGAGGACAATGCACATGGTGATGATGGAGAAGTGCGTTGCGAAGTACTCGAGCAGGACTCTGACCAGCAGCTGTACGACGGCAGACCCGAACCTGTCCTCGATCACCACCAACACTACCCGGATCCCCACCAGGAACAGATTCCACCTCCTGATGAAGATCAAGAAGTGCAGGATGTTGAAGGAAGTGAGGGCTACTGTCCTGATCAGGAAGAAGAACCGCAGGTGGGGCAAGACAGAGGTGGTTACGCAGGAGACTACTATGCCACGGAGGACAATGGAAACTCTGTGCGTGTGTCACCGTACAGGGGACATAAGGGCACAGACGGAGAAACCGGAGAGGAGGCAGAGGAGGATATTGATCAGATAGTAGCTGAGATTAAGATGAGCATGAGTATGGGCAGTCTTAGCAGCGGCACTGATCAGAGTCCAGAGGAACTGACGCCTGATCCAGCACCGAATGGCTACCAGCCAGAGACACACTCCAAACCCGAGCCCGCCCCCGCCCCTGCCCCTGCCCCATCCCCTGCCCCATACCCTCAGCCTCACCGTCATGACGGCAGACCCAAATCCCTCAACATTCCCCCTGCCAGACACAATCCTGAGCTCCAGAGGAACTTTAAGGTACGACCTCACACACCAGAGGAGAGACAGAGATGGACGCAGGACCACGTGAGAGAGCAGGTAGGCAAATTTGCATAGCAACCTGTAATTGTATCTGTAGCAGCTTATTAAATGAAATACACAGTTCAGTGAAAACAGAATAAATCAGCTCAGTAATTATGAAATATAAATATGAAATTTATCAATGTATTCAGTTTATTTCTGACTAATATTCTGCAGAAGGAGTGGATGGAATATATACTGTATATCTCTTATTGGCTCTGAGTACTCTACCATCTCACTTTGAGCATTTTGGATTCATTTTGGATTCATGGATGTAATAGGTTACTGTAAGTGTACCTATCTGGTCTGTGACATCTATACACTACTGTTCAAAAGTTTGGGGCTGGTAAGATGTTTTTGAAAGTAGTCTCTTATTCTCACCAAGGCTGTATTTATTTGGTCAAAAATACAGTGAAAACAGTAATATTGTAAAATAGTTTTTACATTTTATAATAACACATTATATATTTTAAAGTATAATTTATTCCTGTCATGACAAAGCTGTTTTTAGCAGTAATTACTCAAGTCTTCAGTGTCACATGATCTTTTAGAAAACAATATTATTTTGATGTTATGCTTAAGAAACATTTCTTATTATTACCAATGTTGAAAACAGTTGTGTTGCCTTTTGTATTTTTGTGAAAACCATTAAACTCTTTTTCAGGATTCTGAATAGAAAGTTTAAAAGAACAGCATTTATTTGAATTAGATATCTTTTGTAACATTATAATGTATTTATTTATCAGTTTAATGCATTCTTGCTGAATAAATGTATTAAATTTTTGTTTTTGGCCCCTAGGAAAACAATGACAGCAAAACTTGAACAGACTTCTGTTTCCTTTTAAAAGGTTTAAATAGTTAAACAGTCGGAAATATTAATGTAATATTAAATGTTATTTATCTTAATTTAATAAAAAAGATCATTCCCAAAGGGCTCTCTGAAATATACATATTCATTATTATAGTTAAATATTAATGTGAATGTTGACAGCCCTCATTTAAATGCAAGTGGCATTTGAGTAAACGAGATTAGTGCTTGTTTATGCCCAAAAGTGAACCTCAAAATCTTGGTAGCTGAGCTGTGTGTAATGATTTTTTATGCTCTTAAGAGCTGATGCTTAATATGTGATATTTGGAGATGGCATAGAATGTTTTCTTTAATGTGATGTCAATGTATTTTTACATAATTTTGGGGGTAGTTCCAAAGACAATTATAGAGAAAAGGCCGTTATTACCATTTACTCACTCATTTCAAGGGGAAAGTGCTCAATTTGAGCGGCAAGATGAAAAGAATGAAAGAAAGTAATCTGACAGAAATTGGAACCGTTTCATTGTAACCTAGACATGAAGGGGAACCTGATCAAAAGCAATTTCTTGAAATCCCCAAATATAAACAAATTTCCATTACCTTGAGAAGCTTTTTAAATTCCGTCCCATTATTCTTACTCAGGTACATTGTGTGTGTGTGTGTGTGTGTGTGTGTGTGTGTTTTTTGCCTGAACAACCCAAAAATGAAAACTGGCTCATTTCTAGAAACCTCTGCCTATCTGCCTAAAGTGAGTAATAAAGCCAATAGTCGGCTTGCTGAATGGTTTGCTGAAAAATGAGAGGAGTTCATTGTAACCTAGACATGAAGGGGACCCTGATCAAAAGCAATTTCTTGAAATCCCCAAATATAAACAAATTTCCATTACCTTGAGAATCTTTTTAAATTCCGTCCCATTATTCTTACTCAGGTACATTGTGTGTGTGTGTGTGTGTGTGTGTGTGTGTGTGTGTGTTTTTTGCCTGAACAACCCAAAAATGAAAACTGGCTCATTTCTAGAAACCTCTGCCTAAAGTCACTAAGTGAGTAATAAAGCCAATAGTCGGCTTGCTGAATGGTTTGCTGAAAAATGAGAGGAGGTGCTGACTTTCTAATTGAGTTTGAAAAATGAGGTTTAGAAAATACCTTACTTTGCATTTTCAAACAGAATAGGAAATGAAATCTTTCCAAGGGGGAAATAGGTGAAGGGGTGAGATTTAGTCTGATTGCCTCAGTGGTCCAGTGAATGTCTTGTGAAGTTCTATTACACTCCTGCTTCTTTATTGCCTTTGGGCAATGAGGAGATTACATTTTATCCTGTCAGGCAACAAATTAATTTCATCAAGTAATAATGTCCTTATGTGCAGTAGACAGAGTGCTCATTTGAGACTTAAACTCCCCTGCAGATAGACAAAGTGTAAAAGTGTCTTTTTAGGCACTGTGCATTTCCAGGTAAAGACAACGTCTTTTCATTTTACCAAAGTGTTTCAATACATTGTGTTTGAAAAATGTTTGTTATGCTGCATAAAGCGTTCCCATTGGCCTTTTGCTTCTGACACGCATCAAATTGTTAATGCTGTTCATAAAGTGGCCTGCAACCCATCGTCTGTGTCTTTTTTGTCCTCTGTACATGTCTGTACCTTCACTCATTTGTCACTCATTTCTCTCAATTTAAATTCTTTCTAGGTGTCTAACAGTGCAGAACAGCCAAGGAAGCAGCAGCGGTCTGATCTCAATAGACCACTGGAGAACAACAATGTCCCGGAGGTGAGCCTGTAATCATACAACACATTAACCAATCAATATCTGACAGTATGCACCCCACATAATCACTGCACATTTCAATCAGAGCTATTCTAGTCAGTGTGAGGCTGTCATTTATTTATGCCACATTTCTCTGGCTTTCTTAGACAGTTTCTCTTTGCTTTTTTCCTGGCATATGTCAGCTGTTGTACTAGCTTACCACCATCCTCCCCCGTGTGTTGATATAGTAAAATAATTGGCTTTGCCCTTCCCTGCCCTGGCTCTACTGTATTTACATGGACAGAGGGGAGTTCAGCCTTGAGCTGCCTGTTCTGCTTCTCTGCACATTTTTTACGCATGAATGTGTAACTCCATAAGAGTTTTGCAGCCTGATTGTAAAAATATGTATATATATATATATATATCATCTAGGCAGTTACTACAAATCGCCAAATAGTTGTTCAAAACATGTTTTATAGTGCTACCAAGCTTTCTGCCAAGGTCATTTTTAGATAATCATCAAGCTTTTGAATGTTTTTGTTCTTTTTTTGTATAAAAACTTATGAATGTTTCACATGTTGGAGGTAGTGAGACATGAGAATTTGTTGATTAGGGTCATGAATATCAAGAATATTTATTGTTAAACCTTATTAAAATGTTCACAGTCATAATTGTTAAAAAGCCATTTCAAGTTTTTTTAATTTTTTTTATTTTATTCTCTTATAAATATTTAATTCTGCAAATTAGGGAACACTCACCCAATAAGTCAAAACATAATGGTAATAACCCACAAAGTATTCACCCGAAGGAATTCTGTTTGTATGCATCCCTTGCTGTAGAGTCCCTCCTTATGTCATGTATAGCAGTATTCAGTCTTGCCTTACTTCATCTGAACACATTTAATTACCTTGACTGAGGGTAATTTTGAGTCCTTAGATTGCACTTAATATAGGCCTCTCGAAGCATAACCTCCATTTGGATGGTTCTGTTGTAAAATGATGGCTATTGCTCTGTCTGACGGTGTGTCTATGTCCTACAGCTCTCGGCACAGTTCTGCAAATAGCCACTTCAGAATGACTGACAGGATTTTGTATTGTGATACAATGAGCCACATCTAGAGTCATCTGGATGGTTTCCATTTGAGTGTTAGGTTATTTATTTAGTTTAATTTATAATTTAGTTTGAAAGAAAAACACAGGTGTTTTTCATTAAATTCCCAGTGCTAATTTCCTATTCTCAGTCTGTTGGCAATGTTTTTGTGATAATATTACTATATTAAAGTTATGATTTCATAATTAAGCAATATCACAGAATCAAATCATGCTCTAAACACGGCCGAGTGCTGCACAGGCCTACTGACATTCAGACCAAAATGCATGATAAACAGTACACAAGAAGTTAATATTCAGCAAACTACATATTACACAAAATATCGACAGTTACTTTGTCTGTTTTGGCTTAGCTAACTAAAATAAGGGCAAACAAAGCCATGTGCAGAATTTTTCTGAAACAGTACTGGTGTAACTGCAATTAATCTTTTGCAATGAGACTTTTTTAACAAATCGTTTGAGGAGATGATTCAATGACTCGCTTATAAACACAGTTACTGAATTTGAAATACCATACTACTCTTACTATATTGTATGTTATGCTACTCCAAATTCAACGGCTTATTTGAAGAAATCAGTGTTTTTGAACAAATTATTTGAGGGAATGATTCAGTGACTCGCATATAAAGGCAATCAATTGTTCAAGAACTTAAAATTGTGTATATAATGTATATTTGTATGTTTTTATTATTTTGTTTATATTTATAATTTTTTGTATTTTATTACATTTTTTTATAAAATATATGTTGTTCGTCTAGTTAACCTAGAGATTGTTTTCGAGTTCCTAAAAGGTATAAACCCTAGTAAGTATGCTGTATGTTGTGAGCATCACTCATCTCTTTTCATACATCAAACACTGTTTCTCTGTTTCCTAGCCAACAAAGAAGACGGCCTCATTTCCCAGCTTCGTGGATGGTAAGCGAGCATCTCCTATCTTTTATTTTTTCTGCATTTGATAATCTGCCCCCAAAAGTTTTATTCTATCCAAATTAAATCGAGTCAAAAACAAATCAAATTCACCAAACCAACTCCGAGTGAGGAGATTAGAGAGCCGCACAGAAGAAAGCATTATGTCTCAGTGGATTTACATGCTGAAATGCGGACAGAAGCTGTTTTAATGGGTTGCAGTGGTGAGACATTAATTAGAGGAGTCGTGTTTGCTAATATAAGGGCACATTAGTGGATGCTCAGCTAGAGGAATATTCACAAACTATAGCAGGAAGTAAAAGAGAGTTCTGGAAAAGCAGGACAATCGATTGACCACAAGCTTATTTTTGGTTTACGCAAGTCTGAGAATGTATTCCTGCTGTCATGCCTTACTTTTGGGAACAAATTCTGCTTTCTATTAAAAGGATAGAGTTATGTCAAATTTAAACCTTGTGCCTGAATGATGGCAGCAAAATGTATCCCTTGGTGGGTATCATGACGTCCACATTTCCATATCACACCAGCAGAATACTCCCAGCACACCCTGCTTTTCCTCATGTGGCCACCTTGGCTCCTGCTTTTCAATGTCTGCGTTACAATTTTCAGCCCTCACAGTGGGATGGAATTGAGAACACACACATATTTGCACATACTTTCATGCACACGACACCTGCATGCAACTTTTCTGCCTGATAAGCTCACACTCATGTACCTTATCAGTCACTGTGAGGTGGTCTACAGAGGAGGTGGCAACACAACAAATAGCTTTAATAATGAATTCTCAACGCTTCCCCTCTAACAGTGCCGGGCCCCTGTGAGCCTGAGGACCTCATTGATGGGATTATCTTCGCCGCCAACTACCTCGGCTCCACTCAGCTCCTTTCGGAGAGAAATCCATCCAAAAACATCAGGATGATGCAAGCCCAGGAGGCAGTGAGCAGGGTCAAGGTACAGAACCCTAGAACCTCTGTATTTCCATTTTATTTGGGTGTGGCTTTCAAGCGAGATGTTTGGACAAAGCGGATGCAGATTTCTCTGTGGAAAATGAGATGAGATGAGATTTGTTTGTTTACACCCCAGGACTTGTTGACTAATCAGTAGTTATAGGATTATTTTCCATGGTGTAGAAGTGTAATCCCTCTTCCTCCCAATTGGTTAACGTAGAACAACCTCCTATTGCCATGTTACATGGAACATTCAAATGAATTTATTGTGTTTTAAGAGAGCATGTGGTGCAAGTGACATCCCCCCCCCCACCCAGAATACTTTGGATACTGACCTACTTCAGCAATAATGTATGGGGTAGACAAAAGCAATTAGCTCTGTACACACTAAGATGTTTATGCTTATGCTTTTTTTTTTTTGCATTAGCAGTGGGGATATGGAAACTGGCATTATCGAGTATGTAATCACTCACTTTGCAACAACTAAACAAAAACTTGCCTTGAAAGAGTCCATGCATTCGCTTTGTTAATGTAGCCTATTAGAATGCCAGTGAAAACCAAGTCAGACAGAACCATTCTACAAGCTATACATTACGTCTACGATCAACACAGTGGTGTTTCGTTACTGAACCCGTTTTGAACTAATTCTTTGAGTGAATTATTCAATAACTCAATAATTGAATTTAATTGAATTGAACTTGCTTTGTTACTGCATGAATGGTTGGTTTTGAATGAATCATTTAAATAAGCGATTCAATGACTCACTCTTTCAGACAGGGACTTGCCGCCACTTACTAGCAGTTTTAAAAAATATTATTTCTTTTTTTTAATCATTTCATATTTCAATATTCAAAGCTCATATATTTAAAACAATCTCGTAGTATTATTTGAGCAATTGTAATTGTAGTGTAAATGTATTCATGCCACATCTGAGCTGCATTGAACTGTCTGTAAATATGCCACTTCAGATGTAGCATCTATGCCACCTGTACAGAGCAAATTGATTTTGTTTGTACTGGTTTCATTTGAATGCTAACAGCTCTGCAGTGTCTTCTTATTCTAATTGAAATCATTAATGAAATGTTTCACATAGAATATGTCACATACAATTAATAAGGTTAAAAATGCCCCTGAAAATCGATGTGGGTGGGCTTTTATGAACTTACCACTGCACTGAATATGAAAGAATATTAAAAGCTTCAGTCAGCTGTCCACAACAGGCATAAACTATTCAAGGTACCAGCACAAAAACACACTCAGCAAAATACTTTGTCCAATAACTGTTCGACAAACCCCTCGCACACCCCTAATTAGCAGTTACTCTAAACTGTGTTTTTGATAGCAGAAGAGGATTCATATTGCCAGGATGAATCTATAGGTTACAAACATCTATTCATTGTGCTGTTAACTATTGGCCATAGTTGGCACTCCATTGGGGCAGGAGGTAATGGATGAGTTGTCAGTCCTATATTAGATGTGTTATGGCTCTCAGCACTCAGGAATGGGAATCCACACAAACCATTTGAGAAGCTGCTGTCCTGACTTAAATATGCTGTGCACAAGGTGTCTCAATCACTTTCAGACTGCCTGGCTCCACTCATGCTTGATATACTTCAATTTAGCTTTTTTTTTAGCAGTTCCAGAGTGGTGCATCTGAATATAAGAAATGGAAACATGCTGTAAAGCCGTAAAATTTGAATGCATCAGGAATATGCAACTTTTAGCTAAGTAAGATTGTTTATTCTTGACAGGAGCATCTGTGAAGTTTAAAATTACTGCTGTCTGGTCCTGTGGATACTTTGATGGTATCAGATTATTAATTATTATAATATTCATGTGCCATGGTATTTATATTACACTTACTTTTTGAATATAAAGATATCAATAACTTTTAAATGCTTTGAAATGAAGTATCATATTCTGTATCCTTACAAAGTAGTAGTCTTTTATCCCTAGTTTACATTGTTCCCTCTTGAATTGCATGTTATTTTAAGAAAAGACAGTTGTTATAATTGCAGTGATGCTACATTGCGGTCCTCCTGGTCAACAGCTGGCAGTTAATTTTATATGAGCTGCTCCATAGTGGGCCACTAAGCTGCTCCACATTTAGAAACACATACCTGTGGCAAGGACAAGCACACACACCCACAGACATGCGTGCACACATTTGTCAGCTGGGTGCACATAGACCCATGGTGGGCATGAAGGACTGGGAATGTGCCTCAAGATGGTAAGATCACTCACTTGTATCAGTGTAATACAGAGGTACTATATAATACAGAGGTACTATATAGTACAGGCCTCTCTGTTGTTCACTCTCACACAGCTACATACTGTACACCTGTCTGGTCAGTTTCTCTCTCAGATTATAGAAGGACATTTCTCAGTGTATGTTCCAATCAAACAGTAGAGTGGAGTGGACTTTACAAGGTATTAGGCAATCTTAAGATTTCAAATACTATGCCGTGTGTATGATCAGCATAAAATGACACTCCACTGTATTCACTGTGGAGAAAGAAATGTATTCATCAGCCATTGCGCATCACTTCAGTACTTTACAAAGCCTAATATAAATGTAGAACAAAAGAGATGTCAGCTTATTTCCTCACACTGTCATTAGACATTATGTACATGAGCTTAAAGCACAATTTTTCAATATACACACACTGGCCACTTTATTATGTACACCTGTTCAACTGCTTATTAACACAAATATCTAATCAGCCAATAACTAGGCAGCAAATCAATGCATTTAGGCATGTAGAAATGGTCAAGACAATCTGCTGAAGTTCAAACTGTGCATCAGAATTGGGAATAACGTTGATTTAAATGACTTAGAACATGGTGTGGTTGTTGGTGCCGAATGGGCTGGTCTGAGTATTTCAGAAACTGCTGATCTACTGGGATTTTCCACACAGCCATCTCCAGGGTTTACAGAGAATGGTCAGGAAAAGAGAAAATATCCAGTGATAGGCAGTTCTGTGCCTTGTTGATGCCAGAGGCCAGAGGAGAATGGCCAGACTGGTTCAAGATGATAAAAAGGCAAGTTACTCAAATAACCTCTTATTACAACCGTGGTATGCAGAAGATTATCTCTGAATGCACAACACGTTGAACCTTGAAGCAGATGGACTACAGTAGCAGAAGACCAAACCGGGTGCCACTCCTAAAAACTAATTTTGTTTGGTGAACTGAACTTCTACAGATATTCCCTGCTGAGTGAACACTGTGTAGGGACCTTCTGAATCAGAACGCAGCTTCGGCTTCCACCCCGACTTCCAGCATTCTCTGTGGAGGGCCAATCTGGTCATTTCTCTCGCCTGCCACCTTCAAAAGCCATTCAAAATGAAACCATGGCAACACACTCTCTCCTTCTCCTCACTATGCCTGCTATTATTATGTTTCTAGATTTTTTAAAGTTAAGGTGAATTGCACAAAACTCCCTCCTTTCTCTCTTTCTCCTTCTTCCTTTCTGTCTCACTCACACACACACACACACACACATACACACACAACTCTGACATTCATGCACTCACTTATCTGCTCTTCCACTCTGCAGATGATAATGTGTCTGTCCACAGCTGAGTGAGCAGTATGTCAGTGCAGAGCCTGAGGACAATGTCTTTCTTGCTGCATTTCTAAATCAGTTATTTCCAACCAGGTGAAAGCATACCCAGAGGGGAGGAGACGGTTCACTCATATAAAATTGAATTGGAGAAATTGTGATGCTCAGTATGGTAGCTTTAATTTCCATCTACAGTTAAAAGAGCCTGTTGTTTTCTGTTTGTTTACTCTTTAATTTGCACCCATTAAAGGAGTAGTTTACCCAAAAATGAAAATTTGCTGAAAATTTACTCACCCTCAGGCCATCCAAGATGTAGATGAATTTGTCTTTTTCATTAGAACGTGTAGCGTCTGGAACACTCCAACACACAATATATATTTTGTTAGCTAGATTTCACAAACGGATTTGGAGAAATTGAGCATTACATCACTTTCTCACCCATGGATCCTCTGCAGTGAATGGGTGCCGTCAGATTGAGAGTCAAAAAATCAGATAAAAGCATCACATCATTTTACTGTAATTTCTAGCCACAATATGTGTCCATCTCCTGTTTTCCTCTCAGATCAAAATCCACTGACATATTTGTTTAGAACTGTTTTGGCCTGTTTTTCTCGCTTGTGAACGGTGCTTGATCTGTGCATATTTTTATCCTGATTCAGATAAGACAACTTTTTAGCTGGAGAAGTAATATTCTGTATAGAGGACTCATATTTTGGCTGGAAGCAATGATTTGAAGTTAAAAATGTTTGTCATGGTTTTGTTTATAACAAACAGCTTTTCACTTCACAAGACATTAGTTGATGGATTAGAGTCGTGTGAATTACTTGTGGATTATTGTGATGTTTTTATCAGCTGTTTGGACTCTTATTCTGATGGCCCCCATTCACTGCAGACGATCCACTGGTGAGCAAGTGATGCAATGCTAATTTTCTCCAAATCTGTTCTGAAGAAAAAACTAATTCATGTACATTTTGGATGGTAAATTTTCAGCAAATTTTCAGTTTTTGGGTAAACTATTCCTTTAAGTGAACCAGCCTAAAATATACAGTGTTATTGCTGTTTGCATGATTTGAGCCAAAGAAGCACAACTTATGATTCCAGTGGTACCCGATTTTATTCATTTGAAATATGCTGTTGAATCAAGATCAAAACGCGCAGGATATGCAAACACTGAACACAATGCAATTCTTAAAAACGTTCCCCACACTGTTTTGCCATTGTAGAAGTTCTCACTAACGTTTGATTTCACTCATGTGATATCTCATGCTTGTTGTTATGAGTTAAAAGGAACACATTTCTGATTTTTGTGTCGATGAAGGGGTACTTGAGCCATACCGATGGAGGTACATAAAACAAACAGGTTGAGAAACACTGGCCATACCTCAGTCTGGCCCCAGTATCTGACGCCTCCTCTGAATAATAAGAGCAGTACCTAAACCAACACAGTTGCAGCACATTCTTTTGCATGCTGGCCAAGAAAAGCAAGATGGAGCCATTTCTTTTGTTTTAGGCAAGAAACATAGGAAAAAAGCCTAATGTTTTATTGAAGTGTATCCCTGTAGCCTCCAGAATGATGCAGTATTTATGCAACATTCATCGCCCACACGTTCACTGTCTCATTTCCCCTTGACTTTCAAGCTCTTTCTCTCTTGTGCTGTTGATTTATCTCCTCATTTCTCTCTCTCTTTTGCCAATGGAGGATGAGGCATTTTGGCAGCAGAAATGACAGTAAAGGAGTAGTTGTGCTCATGATGCTCAGCCAGAAAGAGATAACAGCAGTTCAAAGGATCATGCACCAGTCAGAGAGAGAGACAGAGAGAGGGAAAGAGAGAACTGAATGGGATCAGAATGCTCACACTATCATAATGAGTGGGCTCTTATGGGTGTCTAGATAGAAGTGTTGCAGTGCAATTTTTCCTCTTTCTAACCTCTCTTTTTTATCTCTGTTTATATTGTATGTTCATTATACAGTTTATGCAGTATTTTATACATATTAGATAAAACCTATGAAAGTCTATGAAAATATAATTTCACTGCGAAATTAAATAATATTATTTAAAACAATCATATTCTTTATATATTTTTCTTCCTAAAAAAAAAAACATTGTTTGTACATTGTTAATATCTTGCCATGGTGTTTTTCCATGATGTGTTGTTGTTGAAGAAATCAAAAAACCCTTTTATTAGTATCATTTTCCTGTATGATTTTGTCGATGAGATTAACAATGTTGTACAGTAGAAAACATTGTATGGTATCCAGTCAGTACACTATGACAGCTGTTGTTCTCCCTGAAGTCATAATATGGCAGGTTGATAAACTGAGGTGTTAGGCTGCATTCGTTGTGAGATTCTGACAAAGAATCTAGTGTCAGTGATGAATCACACAACTATAGCAACATGACATTTATTGAAAGTAATGACTGCTTATGTTATAAAAGGACTAACATATCTTATTGGATACAAATAGACATTTTTCTTATCCTGTTGAGAAATGTCAATGCGTAAAATAATTTACATTTTACGTTTTCTTTTTCTTTTTTTTGGCTTTCAATGTACAGTAACAGTTATTGAACCCATATCTGCATGCCCTATGATTTGCTATCCATATGTATGTGTGTGCAAGGGGAAATGTTGCCACATTCTGGGTTTGTATGTGATTGTGTACAAAGAACACACATGCCATACATGGCATGCAGACTTTGTGTTTGGTTGTTTATGTTTTGCCTGTTTTTAATATTTTTTTTTTACCTTCATGCCTTTTTGCTGCTCCCGTGTGTGACGACCCCTGTACTGTCCTGAACGTCTCCCAGAGGGTACAGAAGGCAGCCAAAATCAAGAAAAAGGCGGTGTGTAAAAAAAAAAAGAAAGAGTAATAGAAGAAGAACATGCCTTTTTTTACCATCTACTTCATGTCTGTGTTCGTCATCTGTGTAGCTATCATAAGTTCTGGTGATACCATGTGAAGTGAAGCTTTAGATCGGGCTGTCTGGGATCTGTGAGGGCCTCTTCAAGCCCAACTAACTATTGGCAAACCAGCCTCATCTGGGCTGCAACTGATGCATATAAACCTTTGAAGATATGGGTTCAAAATTTCAAAGCTATTTTGCACAGACTGCACTTTTAACCCTGTATATAATGTAGTTATATTCGTTTGTGTGTAGAACCATTTTTTACGGCAGTAACACAAAACAAAAGCAAGAATCTGAGCAGAAATGTGCTGACAGGCAAATGATTGGCACTCTGAGACAGCCTGACAGCTGGTTAAGTGGTGCCATTGTGTCATTTTACTTACCCGTCTGTCATTGCATCACCCTGTGCTCCACCTCACTGCACCGAATGGGTCTCGCTCTCTCTCTCTTTCACTCACTCTCTAGTGTCAATCATCTCATTACTTCAAACCTCCGCATGGCTTCTACTTATCACAGAGGGCTGTATTCCCAGTGATTATTTGTCTCTTGGCCTGATTACCTCACTGTGTTTCTCTGTTTTTTTCAAAAGTGTTTTGAAGAGTTTTGATTGTGAGACGCACTTAGTCACCATTGCCCAGCAGTAATAAATTATTAATTGGACAGGTTATCGATAGTCAGTGCAGTTTCACATTTCCAATCCATATGTCCTTTGTACCTGAGCACACCATATTGTTTCCCATTTGGGATATTAATGCTGCAATTTACAGAGGTTAAGCATAGCCCTCCCATGTGGACAAGCTTATGCTCATGCATGATTTATGAATAAGCATTTAAAATGCTTTCATTAGGGGTTTGAGAGGTTGTGCCTTTTCTTTAGGTCTTCTCATGAGCCATTGTGAGTTACAGCATTGTGACCTCTTGGAGGTAGGGGGTAGTTTTTCATATTTTTGTTCATGTTTCTTTTCTTTTTTTTGTCAGCAGAGTCCAGAGGGAGACGCTCAGACATTGACGGAGGTGGATCTTTTCATCTCAACTCAAAGGATCAAAGTACTCAATGCAGACACCCAGGTGAGTTCATGCGGCTGCCTAGTGATACAGGTTTCAAAATCAAATCTGAAAAGATCAACCAAAAAAAAACCCCCCGTCAGAGTAAATGGAAGAAGCACATCAGTGTAAGTCATTAACTGATAGCTGAATTAATTGTAACACTTAGATGCTTTTCTTAAAAAGCTAATCAAATAAGCAGATAAATAATAAGCCCCAAAGCAAAATGTAGCATAAACTGGTTTAATATCCCTGCTGCTTGTTTTCTTCATTAATAGTAATATATATATATATAATTTGTATTTATTTATTTATTTATTTTACTATACGCCCTTATATAATTAACTAAGAATACATCCTATTTTTACAAAGTTTGGGAATCATTTAAAGTTATTGAGGCGGAATGGCCAAAATATGTATTCTCAAGATGTAGAGTACACATTATAAATTATAAATCAAAAAAGGAGATAAATCATTTGGATTTGTGAAATATTTATGCAAAGAGAATGCTCAGATATTATATATTACATAACCTTTTGTTACATAACTGATATAAAACACGTAATGTGTGTCTGTAGAGACAAGAGATGTGCATACGATCAGGCTTCTAGACAGTGATTGAGAGCTTAATGATGGATATAAGATTTGTACTTAATCTCCAGCTGTAAATTTTACACATGCTGTACAGTCAACAGCTCCTCCTTTTCCACACTAGTGTTACTGTAAGCATAAGGTAGGAAGAGCTATATACAGTTTTAATGGTACATTTAGTACCCTGGTACTGTGTGTGTTGCTGTGATAATGTGTATGAGTTCTGACTGAACAGCAGTGAGTGGGCAGGCTGGCACGGACATTTCGTTATGTGCTGCAATGCAGTGTCAGTCCTCACCCTGCCTGTCACATCTCACAGTGAGTCTCTATTGGCTGTTACAGATTCATTACAGTGCCTTCAAGGTTTTATTGATATTCCTCAGACATTCAAAGTACCCTATAAGACTGAAACTTTTAGATTTAATTCAGCCCAATCTGTTTAGCACACAGAATCCATGCAAACTTTATTTATTACAATTTACTATGAATGTTTCATAATCTCCCACTTACAATGATTGACTGATAGTGATGGCATCATTGTAATATTTGCATACTGAATTGCAATTGTTTTTTATTACATATTTTTGAATATTAAATTACGATTAATCTTTTCTTTCCTGCTTCTATTTAACCAAATCACCTTTACATTAATTACTAGGCTGGTAATGGATTACATGGCTGCATGTAAATATAGCTAATGACTGTTGTGGATGTGTGGATTCTGGTGCACAGCCAACTGAAAACAAAACGAATTATTTGTGTCCTGACAATGACAAAGCATCTCAGATGAAGAATTTTAGTAACACACAACCAAAGCCTATACCATAACTTTACCTTAAACACTGGTCTTGATATTTTCTTGGGTGTTGTTTTTGAATAGGAGAGGAAGCTTTTCAGCACTGCATATCGTCATCTGCTAGCCGCATATAAAATATATGCATTAAGTAGAAAGAAATGATAGATGCTGATAGTGGTTTACAATCTGTTTCATAGAGTCTTTGAAGTAAACATGCCACATATTATGGTCCTATAATTTAAAGAAGAGCTGCAGTAAAATGAAAATGAAAATCCCACACATGACCTTTGTGTGCATTGAATCGAAATGCTGCATGAATTTCCTCTGGATCATTAAATTTTTTCATCTCTCTGATGATTTATTACCTTTTTTGTTTCTATATATGTGAAATAGAGTGCATGTCATATATGCTGTTTCTTGTTCTGCTCATTCACACTCAGACATCCAGTTCATGGAATATGGAATGTATTACAATGTCTCAATCAGAACAGCATCAGAACAGTTATTTTAGTGAATACAATTTCAAGGTCATCTTCCCTTTACTAAGCAGGGATGACTGTAACTTTACTGTTTAAAGATCTGGGTTAACCCAAGGCTGTATGCTTGTAGCTTCAAACAGATCTTCCTGAAGGGGGGATTCATGAATGGGAACGTTCTGGAAACCCACTGTGCATTCTTAACCCTAGGTTGCATCTGGAGGCTGTTCCTAAGAGAATGTAATGTGAGCCCATTTGGATAAGAAAGTCTGTGAAATTATAACTAAGCAATGGGATTAAAACACAGCCTTAACTCTAGTCTGGTGTAATGTGTTGGGAGGTGTTGCCACAGAATGCTGAGAAGTAACTGTGGTTACTACCTTTGTTGTTTCAAAGGAGACCATGATGGATAACGCTTTGCGTACCATCTCATACATTGCTGACATCGGGAACATTGTGGTTCTAATGGCAAGACGCCGCATGCCACGCACCGCCTCACAGGACTGCATCGAGACGACCCCTGGAGCCCCAGAGGCCAAGAAGCAGTACAAAATGATATGCCACGTATTTGAGTCCGAGGATGTAAGTGTGAATACTTCTGTTTCCTTTTTATAATCTGTACACGCATAACAACCCAAAGATTGGACAAATTTGGAAATTCTTTGATGAATAGAAAGTTCAGATGAACAGCATTTATTTGAAATAGTTTTTATCATCCTAAAAACAAAAGTCTAAATTTGGAAAACTTTGCTCTGTTCCTCCTTTGGGGCCCATATACTATAAATCAGTCGTTTATCCAGCAGTCTGATCACTGCTGGTGTGTTTTTTGCTTTTGTGTTTTTATCATGACTGATTTAGATGCTCAGTTCTCTGAATAATCCTAAAGCAGTCGTGTTTCCTGTGCAAATCAAAGCCAGCACACATGTTGGGATGCTAGATTAATGGCATGACCCCTACCTGTGCACACGTCACCTGAGGGGTACTGTTAAATCAGAAAACTTCCACAATCATTAGCAAAGGGAATGAACTTCTTTTCCACTGCACCTCTTTAGCATTCTAGTGCCGACAGGCCAATATAATAGACTTTATCCAGCAATTTTTCTACTTCCAAAGAAGAATATTCACTAAGATTTGTATAAGGTCACAGTGCTTGAAATTGGCCAGTGTATTCACATTTCACAGTGAGCACTACTGTAGCACCAGCTTACCTTCAAAGACGACAGCTGGCGGTTATGGAAACTGTTCGAAAAACATAAACCTATTCTAGAGGGAAAAATCAATGTACAATAATACACTATGAGTGAGCAGATTCACAAAACATCAAATCAATGAAGAGGGAAAAAATGACACAAGTGTTCATCTGCTGCATGTTCTTTTAGGTATTGTCAAAGAAGCTTATATGCAGAACAACTAATGTGCTTCCAGGCCAGAGGAGAACTGGCCCTCTGACTGAGACTGGTTTCTCGCATGGTTGAGAACAAAACTTGGACTGAATTGAGCTGGATAATAACAACACTATTGTCTTCTTTAGAGCTGCTTTATAGAGGAATTTGTTTCATAATTGAATACATTTGCAACATCGAAACTGTTATTGAACTGAATTGAATAAATTCTGAATGGACTTGAGCTGAATAATGACACTATTGTCTTCTTTAGAGCTGCTTAATAGTTGAATTGAGTTTGTTTCATAACTGATGAACTTTGCAGCATCGACACTGTTATTGAACAAAATTAATTCAACATTGAACTAAACTGGGCTGAATAATGACACTATTGAATTCTTTAGAGCTGCTTTATAGTTATACTGAATTTGTTTCATAACGGATTAACTTCGCAACATTGAAACTGTTATTATACTAAATTGAATCAACATTGAACTAACTTGAGCTGAATAATGACACCATTGTCTTCTTTAGAGCTGCTTTACGGATGAAATTGATGAATTTTGCAACTTTGACACTGTTATTTTCCTGTTTGTTAGTGTGAAGCTGCTTAAAAACAATCTTAATTACATAAAGATAAATGTGACTTATTTTGCTTTTGTCTTTAAAAGGCTCATAATAAACTTAATGTGAAATGATTTAGTTCTATTTACTTCTGTCATGTAACCAATTTATAACTGATGGCAAATGTATACATGAATTGATTTTTGCCGTTTCACCTGGTTTTCTCCTCCAACATATGCAGGCCCAGCTCATAGCACAGTCCATTGGTCAGGCATTCAGCGTGGCCTACCAGGAATTCCTCAGATCCAATGGGATCAACCCAGAGGACCTGAGCCAGAAAGAATACAGCGACATCATCAACACACAGGAGATGTACAATGATGACCTCATCCACTTCTCAAACTCTGACAACTGCAAAGAGGTCAGCTGCCAGACGCTTTCTTCTCTATTAAGTGTTCTCTCTGTGTTAGGACACAGCTGACCCGGCACACTGATGCTTTTCTGCTCAATACATGTGGGGTTACTAGAAAGCAGAGGAAAGTGATGAAGGACAGCAGCACTTTTGTTTGTTGAAAAAACACACACACACACACACACACCATAAAAACCACTGGTAACATTTGAGCTAGTTTGTAAAGTAACTTGAACTTAGTTGTCCAAAAATGAAAATTGTCATAATTTACTCACGCTCAATTTGTTCCAGACTTTTATGAATTTCTTTCTTCTGCTGAACACAAACGAAAATATTTAGAAGAATGTTGCTCAAACAGTTGCTGGTCCCCTTTTGACTTCCGTAAGTTTTTTTTTATATATACTATAATAAAATGGGGACCAGTAAATGTTTCATTATCTGCATTCTTCAAAATATCTTCAGGTTAAACAGAAGAAAGAAACTCATACAAGTTGGGAACAACCATGAATGTGAGTAAATGATGACAGAATTTTCATTTTTGGGAGAGAACTATCCCTTTAAATGTTGTGCTTATATAATGGCTTATATAAAGGATTTGACATGGTGTTATGTGTTTATAGCCAGTGGAGACTGGTGCTTTTCAGAAGTGTGAAAACTAAATTTAATTTAGTGGTGCTTCTAATTATGCGATAAAAAGCAGTTGCAAATGTTGTACAAAATAATTATCACCACTACTCATTTGCACCAATAAAACGTGCAACTCTTTGTTTTACTACCAAATTATATGTAATATCAAATTATTACTAATAAAAGTCTCACGATTTATTTCCACAACACGATGCATGATGGGATACACTAAGCCTCGAATAGCGCTCTGAAACAGTTGCTTTGTCCAAATACCCACACTTGCGGTCTTGGCCACTTGAGAGCGCGTGCGCGCGACAGGAAGTAAGTGCTCAAGACTGTCCCAGGTCTTAAAAACGCCAGAGCGCAGTGCCCTTAACGCACACTAAATCCACACTATCTCGAATACCGCTCCGGAGCACTATTCGAGGCTTAGTGTATCCAATCATGCATCATGTTCTGGAAATAAATCTTGAGACTTTTTGCCGAGATCTCGCGAGACGTCACGGAAACCTTTCCAATGCAAGTTAAATATTAATATAATAATTAGATATTACATATAATTTGGTAGAAAAACAGTGTTTTTTCATTTTATTGGTGCGAAGATGAGTAGTGGTGATATTTATTTTGTGCAACATTTGCAACTGCTTTTTATCATTTAATTAGAAGCACCACAAATTAAAATTATGTCATGTTATAGGGACTACTGAACAGACATTTAGAAGTTGATTTTAAAATGCAAAGTATTTAAAATGATAATTAAAATAAAGCCATGTAAACAGTTGCATTTTTGCAACACTATAAGTGTGTCCCATCAGGTAATGAAAAGTTAGACACACACTTGTGGTCTTCATCCTCACTTGAACACTTGGGCCAAATACAGGAAATACATCATATAAGTGGTCAAGTGCAAAGACCGCAAGTGTGTGTATTTGGACAAGGCAAGTATTCGAGATAAGGCACTGCGCTTTGGCGTTTTTAAGACCTGGGACAGTCTTGCGCACTTACTTCCTGTCGCGCGCACATGCTCTCAAGTGGCCAAGACCACAAGTGTGGGTATTTGGACAAGGGGTTATACCAGGGTTGCCAGGTTTTCACAAGAAAACCATCCCAATCGCTACTCAAATCTAGCCCAATTGCGTTTCGAGGGGGTCCCCAGTTAAAAATCGCGTTCCAGGGGGGTAAAATATAAGTTTTTTGGCGGGGTTCCCTTGCTAAAATTCACATTCCTGGGGATAAATATCATGTTATTGGAGTCGCTTCAACCCGCGGACATGAAAAACAACCTGTGGCAACAGTATTAAAGTAGCCCGCGGACTTGGCAACACTGGGTTATACAAACCTGGATGGAGTGTATTTGGCACAGAAATGCTCCGTCATACGTCCAAATCGTTTTTTGAAACTTTGGCCATGTTAAGCATGAGAATCCAACTCTTTAACAGTGTAAATACTCAGAATGCATGAAATAGCATTAGACACCCCCTTTAAAAGGACCAGTGCACCAAATAACTGAATTTTGAATGCCCAAGGCTGTTCTCTATAGCACTGAGTAAAATTGTTTCCTTAATTGCTTTGTTCTTTTATGGCCTTTTATTGGCAATCAACTACAATCCCTTGCCTATGCCTCTGTCTCACTCTCACTCTCTCTATCTCTCTACTCCCACAGTTGCAGCTGGAGAAGCAGAAGGGGGAGATTCTGGGCATAGTTATTGTGGAGTCTGGCTGGGGCTCTATTCTGCCCACCGTCATCCTGGCCAACATGATGAATGGAGGCCCTGCTGCCCGTTCTGGGAAGCTCAGCATCGGTGACCAGATCATGTCAATCAACAACACCAGTCTGGTGGGGTTGCCTCTCGCCACCTGTCAGGGAATCGTCAAGGTATGCAAACGGGTTGGGCTGTCACAGTGCGCAGTGGGCTGAATCTTGGCCTGGCCATGAATCCATCTGTGTTATTCTGAGTAGCTGGTTATTAAGTGTCTGTGGTTTAGGGCTGCCGAACCACCACAAATCAATCAATAAAGTGCTTGCAAAGGAAATACAATTTAGATTTCCTATTGTTATGATCCCAATGTAATAACACAGTGCAGGTGTGATCGTATTATGATTATAAATTGTATTATCATATTATTGTGTGATCATAGGTGTGATCTTATTATATAATTGTAGTAATATATTCACATGTATGTTTTGTACATCTCTATCAGGGCCTGAAAAATCAGGTGCAGGTGAAGCTAAACATCGTGAGCTGCCCTCCTGTAACCACAGTTCTCATTAAAAGACCAGACCTCAAGTACCAGCTGGGTTTTAGTGTGCAGAATGGCATTGTGAGTATGGTGGAAGAGGAAGTCTGAAATAAAGTATTGAAATATAATTCTTACTGTTAAGTCCAACTTTTGTTTTGTGCTCCTCAGATCTGTAGTCTAATGCGAGGAGGGATTGCAGAGAGAGGAGGTGTCCGGGTTGGTCATCGTATTATTGAGATAAACGGCCAAAGTGTTGTGGCCACGGCACATGAGAAAATCGTCCAAGCTCTCTCCAATTCTGTTGGCGAGGTGAGCACTATACATACACTACCTTTTGAAAGTTTGAATACATTTTTTTTTTGAAAGTCTCTTATGCTCATCAAGGCTGCATTTATGACTATTCAGTGAGAATAGTAATAGTATCAAAGACTACAATTTAAAATATCTGTTTTCTATTTTAATATATTTACTATATAGCTATATTTGAATACATATTTTATTATTTACTTTAAAATGTAATTTATTCCTGAAATTGCAAAGCCTAATTTTTACCAGCCATTACTCCAGTCATGAGTGTGACATGATCCTTCAGAAATCATTTTAATATGCTGATTTGGTGTTTAAAAAAACATATCTTAATGTCTATGTTGAAAACAGTTGTTCTGCTTAATATTTTTGTTGAAACTGTGATTTGTGATTCTTTGATGAATAGAAAATTCAACAAGAACAGCTTTTATTTGAAATCAAATTTATTTGGTAACATTACAAAAGTCTTTACTGTCAATTTTGATCAATTTAATGTATCCTTGCTAAATAAAAGTATTAATTTCTTTTTTTTTTAAATCCTACTGACCCCAAACTTTCAAACAGTAGTTTATATTAAAATATATATTAAAGGGGTCATATGATGTTGCTAAAAATAACATTATCACACGGCAGCTTGAGTGAGCAGAGTGAGGGCTAGAGTGAGGAACGGCTGGAGGGCTAGAGTGAGTGGAGGCGGGTGGGCTTGAGAACGGCGCGGCCGGCGGATTTGACGAAGGAGCGTCCAGAGGGCTTGCGGCAACCACACGTGATGACCCTGGGCTGGACTCCGCTTCGTCCACGGTGAAAGCCGATCCAGCGATCCACAGAGCGAAGTTGATGTATTTCCTCAGCGACCAGCACGGATCAGCTCCAGGCATGACGAAGCAATATCGTCCTCTTTTGGAAGGCCAAACAAAGTAGTTTCACTTTCACAACAAATCACACAGCGCCTTCACGACATGGCGGCGGCGGCAACAACAATATTACAGCGAGAATAAAAGTTATGCCTTCTTTCTTTGCATGAACATTTGGGCGGCGTTATGCAAATCTTCCCACATCGTGACAGACATGTGTGGGCGTGTTAGAACGAGCCGTTTTAGGTAGGTGTGGCTGACTCTTAACTTTTATAAAGAATATCTCTTTAGATTTGAGACTTTAGCCTTTGCAACTTTACAGATCTTCTTTATGCACCAAGAGCTCGTAACACTCCAAAGAGAAAAGAAAAATTTAAATCGCATCATATGACCCCTTTAAATAATGTTAGTAGAATAATATATAGTAAAAAGATATCTTTCTTTGTCCTGAAACAGATCCACATGAAGACTATGCCAGCTGCCATGTTTAGACTCTTAACTGGTCAGGAGACTCCTATGTATATATGATCTGAGGTGGACTTCAGCTGAGATACACAACTCTGGGCACTAGGAAATGTCTGAATGCAGCAGTCACCTTTCTCCATTTATCTTCACCAAAAACAACTCCCATCACTCTTACTGTCCGCTAACATTGATATGGTGTGTCGTTTCTGCATAGTGTGGATTCTTTTTGATTTGTCATGTTTGCTCTTGGGTGTGTGCATAGTCAGATGAAGATGAAGATGGAGTAGATGAATCTCAAGTCCTTTCTTCGTGACATAAGGGGTGCTTTGATTTTGATGCTACTCTTTAATTTATTTACAATTATGTACGTGTGGACATTGTTGGAGAGATGCAAGTTTGTTTTGTAAATATGTAATCGTTATATCAATATCAGAAAGGAATGGAAAAGCCAGAGTGAGAAGTCCAGACAGGAGAAGCCCAAAACATCATGCCTAGTGACCATTCCAGAATGATTGTTTCCGTTATAATGACATAATATATTGGATATTATACTTGATCCAGTTGTCATTTAATTTTACACTTTTTTTTTTCAAATCAAATGCACACTGAATCAGTACAAGTCCCTTACATAAAAATAACTGAACTTGTAGCAAATGTGGCATGACACTTTTTTTTTTTAATATGCTCAATAAGTACATAATACATAATCCAGACTCATAGAACTTTATGCCAGCCTTGTCAGTGGAGAAATGTCATCTAGTGGGCATTAAAGAATGAGCAAATTTTGAGAATAGTTTTTTACTTACAAGTGAGCGAATCTTTTGTAAAATACCATATGTAAACCATTTCTGGACTTCTCCCATGCTACAATAATCAAAACATTCTCTTGCCATGCTGTAAATGAAGGTTGTTTCAAACTCAAAAACATTGTATGAAATTTAAGAGTTTATTTTTTATGTGTGCTTTTTTTGTGTATGCCCAGCTGCAACTCATTTGAGTCAGTGCTGAATGTAATAGTGTTGTTAATAGTGCGTCCACCTCCATAAGCAGTATTAGAATGTCTGTACAAAAACGTTTACCTTGTTTAGTACTTGTGTCCATGTAGGAATCACTGTTAGTCTCATTTTATCTTTGTGAGGCTTTGGCCTTGGGAAAATAAGAAGACACTGTGACCAAAAGCCTTACCGCTGCGTAAGAAAACGTTTGAAAACCGTAATAAAAAAAGAGACATGAAACAACTAATAATACATGAACATGAATACCTGTCTGCATGCATCTTAAAATTACACTATGGCAAAATTACAATAAAGTGTAACATAAGCCCTTCATGTTGTTTTATCTTTGATTCTCTGGCAATTTTGGTTGGTTTATTTGCGATCTAAAGAATTGCTTGAAGCCTGAGTGGGTCATATACATCCTGGAAGCTTGAGTCAAAGTCCATGCCAGCTACTTCTAACAGTGGCCAGCTTCCAAAGCTTAAAAATAGCTCCCTAGCTTCATATTATGGACCTAATGAGTACAGATTTGAGTCTCACAGTTTGGCATTGGCATAGTCAAGGAAAGAATAAGAAAGAAAGAAATAAACACCCAATAATGAAACTCCTTTATCTGATCTTAGGGGAGATTAGAGGGACATTGCCACGCTTTATAGCAAGATTGCGAGACAGGCTCTTTATTAGCGAGTGTGCGTGAGTTCAATAATCATTCTCCAATTTTGAAGATCCCTGCTCCCCCTAGAGGTTATTAAAATACACTACAACCTTTTTTCATGAGCGTTGAAGAATCAAACAAGTAAACAAAAACACACGAGCATACTTAAAAAGTTAGCCTATATACTGTGCTTAAAGTAGCTCAAATGTTACTTCAAGTATGAGATATCATTTGTAAAGATTAGCTGTTTATAAACATGATTAATATGAGTAAACTGTAAACATGACCAGCTATTAGGCTATAAAAGGATAATATTTAAAGCTCAAAAGTGTTTCATTTTAATACTGTTCATGATTGTGCAATGACAAAAGCTTTGATTTAGGGCTATATTTAACTAAATGCTACAGACTGATAAAATACAAATATAATATTAAACTTTACATAAAGAATTACACTCCTTACAAACAAAATTGCTGTATTGATGGATATCATGGGTTTTGAACTTCTGGTCATTCTTGCCACATTTTAATATGACCTTAACCCCAATCCCCTGGTGTGACATCTCAAAGGTCTGCACAGCCTGCTCCAGTGGGAAACGATGGCTGGTCATCAGTGGTTTCTTAGACGCCAACACAGAATGCTGGAGTTACTGTGAGAGAACATGGGCAAAAGTGTAAATGGTATCATGCATACATATAATCAATATGATCTGCTCAAATCAGTTGTATGTGAATTCCCAGACTCATGTATTACAGTTCAATCAATTCAATTCACGTTTATTTGTTTAGTGCTTTTCATGACACAAATTGTTATAAAGCAGCTTCACAGAAAATTTAAGTTTCTACATTACATTTAGGAGTAGCTTATCAGTGGTGACAATGTCAAGGTGGTGTCCATATGGCAGATATGTACAGAAAAAAATCATGCAGTTAGTCAATGACATGTATTCAAAGTCCAAACAAACGGTGAACACTATTAAAAGCAATGATTATGCTGTGATCAAACGTATAGGCAAATTTGGTAGTTCTGTATGTTGGTTCAGGGCTGGCGTCATCTGAGGTCTGAGGGGTTGGCATCATCTCTTCTCAGGTGTTCGGTCATCTCAGATCTTTGTAAGGGCTGGATCCAGACTGATGCTTGTGTAATTCTTAGTTCCCTCGGGATTCCCATCCCGTGGCAGAAACAGAGAAGCAAATAGAGAAAAATTAGCATAGCTGCTATTCAAACCAAGCAAAAAATGATAATGTGTTCAAACTAAGCATAGAATGATAATGTGCATTTGATCAGATATAACTTGAGTACAAGGTTATGAGAAACAACATGTGAATGCTTGGGTAAAAGTCTTTAATCTAGATTTAAACAGAGAGAGTGTGTCTGAACCCCCGAACTTTATCAGGAAGGCTATTCCAGAGTTTGGGAGCAAAATCTGGAAAAGCTCTACCTCCTTTAGTGGACTTTGGTACTACCAAAAGTCCAGAATTTTGTCTTATGTGATTTGATAAAATACATAATGAAATATAATCCTATATGGGTAACAGAGAAATTACAATTAGCTTCAAGCTACACGACAATTAATGAGATTAATACAACACTTCTACTTGAATGTCACTATCAATCACTATTGAGTGTTTGTAATAACTTCTGACTGCGATACAATGTGGATTTTGGTCAAATGATGAGGCAGAAATATGTTGTTAGTAACATTCTAGAAGAATTTTATGTGGAAGATATCCAGTTACAGTACAACTTCTGTTGGGCGTGAAGAAGAAGTAATGTACTAGTAGTGTAACTAATTACTGTTGCCAGAAAGTAATAAGTAAAGTAACATTACTTTTGAAAGGAGTAACTAGTAATGAGTAATATATTACATTCTTTGAGTAACTAGCCCAACACTGATTAGTAATATTCAGCATGCGCGATACAAGGTAAGTGCCTAGTGTATTGTGAGACATTTGGGACTAAACTTAAGCAATGTAAAGTATGGTGGTCGTTTCAGTACACAACCAGCACCACCACTCCTCCAGAATGAGTTGCCTGGACAAAAACTCAGCACACCATCAGCACAAAAAAGAAGGTCAGAGTATAAGATTTCAATAAATCTCAGTACTGTGCATAAACAAATATAAAAGTAAAAATAAAGTATAATCTGTATTATATATTAAAGGTATAATTACATTATGTATATATATATATACATATAAAAATTCACTTTTACACAACACTAGATACATGACTTACCACTTATTACTCGTGGCTTTGGCCGCTAAGAAAGACACTAGTCTAGTTGGTATTTTTGCTATAACCAGACACATATCACAAAAGTTGTGTCACACAGATGACATTTCTGAAAATAAAGTATGCCAACAGTGCTATTAGATTAATAAGCACCAATTGTTTTACAGTCCTGATACCACTATAGAAAAAAATAGAAAAGTGGCAGTGGCGAAGAAGTCAGAGGTCATTACACTGATTGGCTAGTTAATGTATAACAGTTGCATAAATATATGCTATCATTAGAGATGACTGACCTGCACCGCAGACAAACACTGAGCTTCCACGAGTGACTCCTGCCCTCCTGCAGGCATGAATGCCCACAGACAGGGTCTAATGAGTCCATCAAAACTGCATGCCGGACAAAACGCAATTTGTACAAACATACATAAATGTATGCATTTATTTTTTTCTTCTTTTAAAAGATTTATTCACTGGTTGTGCATGTGACATTTTTATTTATTTAAAAAGATTATAACGGACTACTTGTACAACTGCTTCCACGTTCTACTTATAACCCAAATCAATTTCACGAAACCACATAGACAAACTCAAGTATCCTTGTATCATAAATTTTAGGTAAAGCTTCATTGTTTGTAAACAAGATTTAAGTTAAGTAAACTATAAAAAAAATAACCAGCTATTATTATAGCATTATATTAAAAACTGCACTCTGACAATGTTACATAAAATTCAATTTGAATACTTTTCATTATTATATAATAACAAAAGGTTTATTTATAAACACTTTACTAATGTAAAATGCTACATATTCATAAAGTTATAATACAACTGAAATTGTAAATAATTGTGTACACTGTGAAGAAAAAACGGAATTCCTCTGACTGCTGTACCTGAGACAAGACGGTGAGGTTACTCACAAAATTAGCTGGATTAAACAAATTTATTCAAGTGACTGTAGCTAGGTAATAATCAATCAGGCATAGGTCCAAGAGTTCATCTCATGGGTTCTGGTTGTTCTTGTCACATTTTAACATGACTTTAACCCCCAGCCCCTGATGGGTGGTTTCAAAGGCCTGCATAGCCTGCTCCAGTGGGAAACGGTGGGTGACCAGGGGCTTGACGTTCACCTTCTTAGACGCCAACATAGAAATGGCCACCGGCCAGCTGGAAAAACAATGAGGGAACATTGGTAAAAGTGTGCAAAGGAATAAAATCTAATTTTGAATTTACAAACTACAATAAATATGTATGTACATTGTATTCATATGTGAATCCCTAGTCCTAGTGATCCTACTTACGTATTACAGTAGCGGAATACACCTCTGATGTCAACTTCTCTGACAGCTGCATTGAGAAGAGGTACAGTGGTCATCTCGGTACCAAGCCCAACCAGCACCAGCACTCCTCCAGAACGAGTTGCCTAGACAAAAACGCCCTCATCAGCACAAAAGCAAGGTCTAAGTATGGGCTGTGATTTTAGCATATCTTTATGGTGTTAGCAGTATGACTTCATTTTTATCATTAAACTTACATAGATGGCTGTTTGAATGCTGCTCTGCACTCCAGTGCATTCAATGCTGATTTGAGGCATGCAACCCAGCATTCCCTCCACTTTCTTGGCAATGTCCTTTGGTTCGTCCTCTTTCTTCACATGAAGCAGGAAGTCTGCCCCGATCTCTTTAGCCTTGGCAAGCCGATCAGAGGACAGATCTACAAATACAGAAATTCTTTTTAAAGTGCAATGAAAACATATATAATTCCCTTTTGTACATACTGAATATATACACTACCACTTATTATTACTTGTGAAGCACCCATGGCTTTGGCCGCCAACAAAGACACCAGTCCAATTGGTCCTATGTTGATAAAAACAAACATATATAGTCCATTTATTACTTTAACCAGTCATACATCCCAAAAGTCATGTTATACAGATGACAGTGATATTAGCTTAATAAGCAACAACTGTTTTACAGTCCTGACACACTATAGAAAAGTGGCAGTGGCCAAGAAGTCAGAGGTCATTACACTGTTTGGTTAGTTAATGTGTAACAGCTGCATAAATATCAATCATTAGAGATGACTGACCTGCACCGCAGACAAACACTGAGTTTCCAAGAGTGACTCCTGCCCTCCTGCAGGCATGAATGCCCACCGACAGGGGCTCGATCAGGGCTCCCTCCTCATAAGTCACATTATCGGGCAGCCTGCACACACACAGCCATATATATGATTATTATGTATAGAATCAAAGTGCCATGGGCTCTCTCATTATATAACTTATCCAGTAATAGTGATCTGACTTGTAGCAAAAGTTAGCATCGTGTTTGTAGTATCTGCATAGGTTTCCATCATCTGGAGGAGTGGCACAAAAGAATATGCTGGGAGACAGATTGTAGTGTCCAGATTTAAAGAACTCATCTACTTCACGAGGAACTCCAGGCTCAATGGCAACTCTGTCCCCTGTTGAACACAAAAATGAAAGAAAAACTCACTTAATCTGAGTGTAACTGACATAGTATTAAAAACTAAGCGAGATACAGAGAGAACTAACCTGCTTTGAGGTGCGTCACAGCAGAGCCCACTTTGACCACACGACCAGAGGCTTCATGTCCGAGTATCATGGGCTGTTTCACCACATAGTCCCCGATGCGGCCGTTCTGCCAATAGTGCACGTCTGATCCACAAATGCCCACAGAGTGCATCTTAAGTAACACCTCTTTAATAAAGAAGCCCGGAAAATAATGAATAAATATGAATATTATTCTTCATTGCAATGCATTTGGAAATATTGCCAAGTGAAGAAACCATACCATTTGGTCCTGGTTCCGGAATGGGACGCTGTTCCTGTTAAATATACAGAAAAATCTGCAATTATGAATCACAAGTTCAAGGGTTGCGAAATCTTCACTCAAATTGCATAAAATGTCATACCAATCTGAGATCTCCTTTAGAATGCAGGACCACGGTGAGGTTGTCTTCATCCATTTTATTCACTTAAACACGTACAAACCAAACTCCAAATAACCTATGTACTCCCAGCGCGTATATATGCATATCATTATTTGGCCCCTGAACGGATCATGCGCACTTCCTCCTGTTCTCCGGTAACGTTAGGTTGTTTAAGAATATCAACACTGCGCGCTGTGCAGCCAGAGCGCAGTCTGTACAACATCACGCAGAGAACTACATTGCCTCTAAAGAATAAACAAATAATAATAATAAAAAATAACTATAAAAATATATCCCCCTTTAAGCTTTGCATTGTCCAACGACTTTTCTTGCGTTAATTTAAAGACTGATATCTTTTGCTATTTGAGCGAATGGGAATGCAAAAAATATATTTGTGGTACTCACTGCTCGTCAAGTTAACCCAACTATAACGACTTCCTGAAAATGTGAAAAAGTATTTTTTTTTTTTTTAATTAACAATATCAGAAAGAAACATAAACATTAGAAAAAGAACATAAACATATGGGGGATACATATGTTAATCATCAACACTGCGCGCTGTGCAGCCAGAGCGCAGTCTGTACAACATCACGCAGAGAACTACATTGCCTCTAAAGAATAAACAAATTATAATAATAAAAAAGAACTAAAAATATATTCCCCTTTAAGCTTTGCATTGTCCAACGACTTTTCTTGCGTTAATTTAAAGACTGATGAATATCTTTTGCTATTTGAGCGAATGGGAATGCAAAAAATATATTTGTGGTACTCACTGCTCGTCAAGTTAACCCAACTATAACGACTTCCTGAAAATGTGAAAAAGTATTATTATTTTTTTAATTAACAATATCAGAAAGAAACATAAACATTAGAAAAAGAACATAAACATATGGGGGATACATATGTTAATAACAATTAAAAGGTAAATAAATATAGTTATTTTACAATCATAAAAGTTACAACTTATGAATTTTGTTATAAGATTGGATGTTTTTAAGGCTTTTTTTTTATTAGCGGAGATTCTTTGAAGTGATGAGTAAAGCAAAAGTGAATATTTTACAATTAGGTTTAAAGTTAAGGCATCTCGCTTTGTGAATGTGGAATTTTCCCATCATACAAATAAAGTCCAGGGCATCCTCTAGCTCCTGTTGTCAGAAACCACAGAATGAAGGAGAACCTTAACTGTTGAAATGTTACGTAGACGGTGAAAAAGGTCCATTGGTACAATGAACAGTTCCAGAAATGCCGGAAGTTGTATGTAACCATGGTGATGATGACGCGTCTGGCTTCTCTATTCAGTGCCGCCTGTATTTCTGAAATAGTGTGCTTGTATTACATGAAATAAAATGAACGGGGATGATATGGTACTGGAATGTCTTAACAAACAACAGGAAAGTCTGAACATGAGTCATCGAGGTCTAGTTGTTTTGCCACCTGGTGTTTCAAGACTTATTACACTGAAAAAACTCTTTCTGAACAACAATAAGCTCATTTTACCACCAGACGAGGTAAGCCATATCCTCAAAACTAGTGTTTTTCAAAGTAGCTACTCACAAAACACAAATTTAATTCATTCGTAGCACATAATATATAATAATGCCTACACATCACTGTTTACTGTAAACAGAAATCATGTCTAAAACAGTGTTTGCATCTTCTGTAAGATTCTGCATCTGGAAAAGCTTGAAGAACTGACACTGGATAGAAACCAGCTGACCATACTTCCTGGCAACATTGGATCACTGAAACACCTGACTTACCTGGGCGTGAACCACAACCCATTATCTGTTCTCCCAGAAGCCATAGGTGACCTGAGACAACTGAGAGAGCTCTGGGCTGTAGGATGCGGTCTTGTCTCCATACCATCGTCTATTGGTAAACTCGGCATGTTAGAGAAACTTGGGCTCCATAATAATAAAATTACACACCTGCCATTACAATTTGGGGGCCTCAGCAATTTGCAATGGTTAAACTTGGCTGATAATAAACTTCAAGACCTCCCAGAAGATGTTAATCACTTACAGTCATTGGTCTTCATGAACCTGGACAAGAACTGTTTTACAAACATCCCTACAGCACTAACAGGTTAATGAAATTACTATTTATGGCATAAACTTTTTTTTTCATGAGGAAAAAAGAGGACGACTGGCTACAGTTTGCTGCAAGACGCTGCTGTACCTCTGATCTGTCACTTTGCTCTTATTAGACTATATTGTTAATGTTTAGAGGACTAATAGTTACTCTTTCACTCTCATTATTATTTTGAATGGTTATTAGATATAAACCGCTGTTTGTTCCCATTGGTGCTCAAGTCATGTGCAATTTTTTGTGTTCTGTTAATTATATGTTATCATACCTATTTCCAGACATGGCAAATCTGCAGATCTTGTCTGTTAAATTTAACAGCATCAGATCACTGGAGGATTACTTAATCCCTGGTTTCAGCAGACTTATAAAGCTTGACCTCAGAGAAAATCCTTTCATGGACAGACCACCTCACTGGAAGGTAATTAACCAAACAGCGACACAGGTTTTTAAGTACACCACTTTAATGATATTACCATTGTTATTCTCTGTAACCTGTCATATCACCTCTGTTCACATACAGGGATTGGATTTTATATTGTTGGGGAAAGTCTGAAGTGCTGAAGATTTATATGAGATGAGTAGGAAATGAAAATGAGCATCCATTTGCATTAAATACTTTTGCCAAAGAAACGCATAAAACAAAGACAATCCACTTCTTATGTGAAGCATATTATATTACATTTCTTTGTGACAATGAGGGGGTGTCACGTCATTAGATCTTGAAACGTTATGGCCATGGAGGGAGGGAAGAAAATCATAAAGTTCCCCTGAATACTTCTTCATTTGGTCAGTATGAACATATCCTGCAAAAGAGACGGTTTCTAAATTTGAGAACATGTGAATTATAGGTGAAAGTCCTAGGGTGTCAGTTTTATTTCTTAATTAAGTACCTGAGATCATGTTGTTTACAGGATATTGCCGCATCTCACAACATGAACACACTTTGTTCGGTGATGCAACAGTCTCGTAATCATCCTGGCTAATAGATAACATGAACATGAAGATACTATAAGGTTAAACCTTGTTTTTATGAAGATAAAGTGCTGTGGTAATGAAAATAATATTTAGCTTCAGTTGTATGGTAAATAGGACAATATTAAAGAATTATGTGTTTAAAAATGAAAACTCGCTACAATAAAATATGCATTCTGCCCAAAACTATAAAGAATTCAGACATAATTACAAAATAAAAAAAATGCTGGGTTAATGCATAGCCTACCTGTTCTTCTCTCTCACTGGTTGATCTTCAGTCTCATCAGATAGACTGTCTTCAGACTCTTCAGTATTTATCTGTTCTTCACTCATCACCTTTAATAGATTAAGAAGCTAACAAATGACTGAGAGGAATAACTGGACACGGGTTTTAACAGAAAAGATGTACTCCTACCTGTTCATCTGTTTCCCAAATGAACCTTCCGATTAGCACTCTCATTTCTAAAGAGAAAAATTCTAACAGTAATCAGGCATCCACTATTATTAAATGTAAAAACTACTCATTCTTTAGATTGGAACATGTCACTAAAAATAATAACATATTTATGGTTTACAGCTCAGTTAGGACAGCTCACCATTCTGGATAGAGTCGGGGGGCAGCACATAGTGGCCTATAGGCACAGATTTTACACTCTGGCGGGGTTTACATGTTGACACGAAATTGCTGTGGAAAACCGTTGCCCTGCTCTTCACATAATCCTCACTTTCATATATCCTAAAACATAAAGAAATAAGGTTAAACTTTGTGGCAAAAGTTTTCAGGCATTTCAATGGTTTTGGGTACAGAAGATTTAGATTAAGCACAATCTATAGGCTGGTTTCTTCAGTATTCAGAAGCATGACCAAATCACCCTCAAACAAGAATTGTAAGTTACAGTAAACTAGTAATACCTTTTAGTGTCTTCAGAAGAGGCATCAGCACTGAAGAGGTAATCTGCTGTTTTCCAGGAGGAAAGAGCTCCCCCTTCAGAAGCTTGAAAGAATATAAACTCCTAATGAAGCCTACTTATATTTTAAAAGTTTAAACCCTCAGATATAAGATGATTCCCAAATATTCATTAATAGTGTCTTTAATCACTTTACGTGAGTTATATTAGTAGCATATATAGCAAAATACTCATCATCTCACCCCAGACGCTGGTCACCCCCATTCCAACACTGCCGGAGAACCATGCTGTTTTGCCTCTAAACATGCTCATGCCGAGCGAGGTGTTTATCACTTCAGTTCGCACAGAAACGATTTGAAGGCCCTCTTCAGACGGTAGGTGAGAAAATACCAAACGTTAACTGTGTTAGCTAGTTATTTTTATAGTTATGTTCATACGCCAGTTCTCACTGTTATTCTAGACATAAGTCATTAAAGACTTCCGTGGAAAGAATAACGTGGATAACGAAGGAGAAAAGTTAGGAAATTTAACGTTCAGACGATATAACGGACAAGCGTTCCAGCTCACATCGCCTCAGGCCTTGACGAGCAGTGTCCGATTCGTGAACCAACCGTTCTTTTGAGTCGAATCTTTTCACTGAATCTATTAAACCTACTCACACAACCGGTCTAAATGATTCGTTCCGAGACAGATGGTCCTGCGGCTACTGAGTCAGCAACCCGAGAACCGAGAAGTGAAGCGAGGATTTGACTAATGTAAGATACTTTAATGGCCTAATAGCAGAAATGTTACAAACGTATATACCCCCAAGTATCCTTATTATTAATAAAATGTAATCGTCAAGGACCACGCGATGACCTAGTGACATTATGACTTGAATGAATCATTTTAATCGGTTATTTGAAACGATATTTTATTTGAACTGATGCACTGAAGTGAGTCGGACTCCATCATAAATATTTACACGACTTTGAGATCAATCCACGAAATATTGTACTACTAATATAAGTACTACTAATATTACCGTTAATAGTGTATTGTTATATTATTATTGTTGTTGTTGTTGTCGTTGTTTTTTGTGTTGACAAATAATTCCTAGCCGTTTTGATGCTTCATTTTGAACTTTGAATATAGAAAAATGTGCTTCTTCATTTTTATTTTATTTATTTTTTTGCCACAAACGTCCAATAAAATATCGTCGTACTGTCGGCGATAGAAGCTTACAGGAGATCTCTAGGCTATTAGAATTTCTTGAAATATTCCATTGCTCGTACAGTGGGAGTGGAGTAGGATAAAGTAGTGTAGTAAACGCTCCTGCGCACTAGATGGTGCCAGAACGGCGTAATTCAAAAGAGCAGAATCTTTAGTCAGGCCTTTTTACCCTTGAAAGTTCAACAACTGATAGAACGGATTGCAAGAATATATTTTCTGCCCTCCAATCAACCTTAGATGATTTAGCTGAATGGTTAAAACGGTTGATCAAGTGGCATTTGTTATTGATCGTGTTTGGCTGTGCAGTTTGGTACTTAATTACATGTCAGCTATGATTTAGGTTAGCTGAAGTTCTTTGTTTGTGTTGTGCTGAACTTATTTCCCACATGTCTGCTATTCCGTTTTAAACTGGTTGACAGTTTGCTATGTTGGCACACGTAATTTTGCACATGAATTTATTTGTGCTACGAAAGCTATACTAAGGTTAAACACGTTTATTCTGCTCACCCAGGCGATAGCTTTATAATTATCTCTCATATCTTGACAGCTAGTTATTTCATACTGTCACTTTAAGACATGGCTAAAGTATACAGAGCCAAAGTGGCCTCTATATATCCATGTCTATCCACAGCACAGAGGGAAAGATGGCATGTGACCTTGTGAAGACTATTTGTAAAAATGCGGTGATGTTGCACCATAAATCAAAAGCAGTACAAAAATGAAACTTCATCACAAGACTGCTTTAATCCCCCTCACTTTCAGTGGAAACAAATGCATGCTCTTCTTGTTCAGAAAGTGGTCTTACTGGTTTTGTGGTGATCTAAACATGTTTTTTTAGGAACACAACACTATGATTAGTGATGCTAATCTTGCTTTTGTTGAAGAGATTGTGGAAGTGTCTGTCATTATATGCTTTATATCAGCATGAGGTTTGCCCACAGGTCAGTCATTTATATGGAGTTGGCTGCTGTTGGCACTTACTAAAGCTAACTTGCTTCCTGTTTTTAGTGGACAGTATTCTGCTAAGAGGGGTAAACTAAAGTATCTGACTTCAAAGCAGAACTACTTTCTTTTCTACAGTATACAAGATATGTATGTACGGTATTTGGTGATATATAAAGAAAAAAGCAAAAGCAAAAAAAAAAAGACTTTATTCAACCATTTGTTTCCTCCTTCCAGCGGACGTTTACGTCCAGTGGATATTCTCCAAAATGGCACCAGGGTGATGCGGAGGAGACAAATTGTTGAATAAACAATTTCGTTATTTTTTTCTCTTTTGTGCACAAAAAGTATTCTCGTAGCTTCGTATAATTGCGGTTGAACCCCTGATGTCACATGGATTATTTTACAGATCTCCTTGCTACGTTTCTGGACTTGGGAACATTTCAGTTGTATTGCTGTCTATGCAGGGTCAGACAGCTCTCAGATTCCATCAAAAATATCTTAATTTGTGTTCTGAAGATGAACGAAGGTCTTACGGGTTTGAAATGAGTAATTAATGACAGAATTTTAATTTTTGGGTGAACTAACGCTTTAAAATCAGTGAGCAGCTGAAGATGACACAAGATTTAAAACTGTTTTGCCTCACTATAGTGATAGCAGTTACTAATACTCTGCATATTCTGCAAATGTGTTAGATTAAACATTAAATCTTGTAAAGGACAAACTATTCCAATCACATCGGCATTTTATGGTTCAGTACCCATGTTTTTTTGTTATAATACAACATTTCCATAATCTGCATTATTTTAAGAGACGGGCCTCAGCATCATCGTCTTGTGCTTATTTTTTTCTGCCAGATAGAGCAGACAGTATAATTTTTCTTCATACTTTGCATATACTTCGAGATCATTTCTATTATAGTGACATAACATTATAGTTTAATGTAGCAGCTTTAAACTTAATAAGGCATAATCTAGAAAGCCATTGCTTAGATCTGCAAGTAGTCTATTCTTTGCTAAGAGGGGTAAACTAAAGCACCATCTGACTTCAAAGCAGAACTACTTTCTTTTCTTTGAACTGCCTGACTGGACCCTGACAGCAAAATCTAAAATTAGAGAATAAAAGAAGACGATAAAAAAAGAATCACGTCTACTAAAATATAACTTCATAACCCTGGTACACTTTTGAACGGAAAACAAACTTTTGCAAGAGGTACAAAGAACATTTTGGTGAGACTATGCATAAAACATTACAAGCATATACAATGGGACAGACGGAGAGATTTACAGATGCGCTGAATTTAAACAGAATTCAGCTTGCAGGATATGGCAGCTATGTTTCCCCTCATGCTGTTTACATGGAGAGATTAACAGCTGAAGATCCTGGAATAACAAATGTTATGAATGTAGTGATTGCTACAAAGTTTATATCTTATATTGTACAGCTGCTTTGCAACGATTTGTATCGTAAAAGACGCTATACAAATAAACGTTAATTGAATTTAATTGAATATCACTGAGGGATCTCATTAATGTTTTCTTCTTCTTTGTTGTTTGGCTAGATAAAGCAAGTCATCATTATAATGTGGTATACTGCCGGTAATACTACATACAATAGATTCCAAAAGTAAAAGTAAAACACCGTTAATCTGAATTAGTACACATGCTTTTATTTAGGTATCTAGCATTAAAATTGCTTTCTTGGCATCTAACTGTAGCACTGAGAAGGGAATGTAGAATAGATAGGACAAGGTGAGGCCAAGAGTATTTGTCATCTTATAAATATTCGGCTGAGACAGCAAAAACCTGTTGACATTCCAGCATTCATCAGTCGGTTGCATTTTATTATTATTTTTTTAATCAAATGCAAACAGCCTGTCAAAACTAGGGATGAAATTCTGACTAATACTAATAAGACAATACTTATTTTCATGTTATGGTTTTTAATTGTTAAAGAGCTGATGTAATAAATCTGTACTCTTTTGTTAGAAAATAACATTAAAATATTGTTACATGCATGCCTACAGGGAAGAGAGATGGAAATAATGGTCTTGAAGGATTAAATCTTTGTCATTATCTCTTTAAATGTAAATAGATAGAATTATCTGTATCTTAAAGGGGTCATAGGATGCTACATGCACTTTTACAAGTTGTTTGAACTGAAATGTGTGTTGGCAGATTGTGTACACAACCACCCTATAATGATAAAAATACACCCAGTGATTTTTTTTTAACCGTGTTAAATGTTTTCCCCTTTCTCAAATCGAGCCGATCTCAGATGCCTGTCTGTGTGACATCACAAAAACAGGCCCCTCCCACGATAGTTTGATTGACAGTAGCGTTTCAGCACAGAATGGACTGGTGTCTTACCTTAGACCCGCCCTGAGTGAGCTGTTATCAGTCCGCCATTGTTTCACCGCCTGAGCAGTTGTAGACAAGAATGACTCCTAAGCGATTGAGGTGTTCTGTTGTTGAATGTAATAATGATCATTTACACCCGACATCTGAGCCGCTGAACTCGCAGTGGATTACATTTGTTTCTGAAGGGAATGCTCCCCCGATCTACCTAAATGCGTCTATGTCCGCGCGAATCATTTGTGATCCAGCCTCATCTACAGAAGAAGTGAGTATAATGTTTTGTAATGAATCTTTGCAAATCACCTTTCCTAATAATGTGCTAATTAGCAAGTTTCACGATGAATAAGTAAACAGTGCTAATTAGCAAGTTTCACGACTAAAGTAAACAGTCTCTCTGAGAGCAGCTCGGAAGAGAGGGGCGGGGTCAGCAGAGCTCATTAACATTTAAAGGAAAATGCTACAAAAACGACTTGATCTAAAAAGAGCTGTTTTTGACAGGGTAAAAAAGGTGTTTTTTACACTACCATTGAGAAATTTTAACCGAACTATGTTACAGACTTTTCATTAAAATGGGCATCCTATGACCCCTTTAAAGGAATAGTTTACCCATAAATTAAGATTTGCTGAAAATGTACGAACAGAAAGCAATACTATGGATAGAGGACTCGTATTAGCTGGAAACAATGATTTGAAGTTAAAAATGTTGTCATGGATTTGTTTATAACAAATAGCTTTTCACTTCACAATACATTAGTTGATGGATTGGAGTCATGTGGATTACTTGTGGATAATTGTGATGTTTTTATCAGCTGTTTGGACTCTCGTTCTGACGGTACCCATTCACTGCAGAGGATCCACTGGTGAGCAAGTGATAAAATGCTAAATTTCTCCAAATCTGTGAACTCCTCTGCATCTGGGATGTCCCGAGGGTGAGTAAATTTTCATTTTTGGGTGAATTATTCCTTTAAAATAGGCAGCAACATTTTAATATCCAATGTTGGCTGATACATTTCTAATAATGGCTAATTATGATACACTGAACAAGAAAAATCCATATGCTGTTCAACTAAA